TAGGGATACATTGGAGAATACTTTCCTATAGAGAAGCATAGAAGAATATTTGCCTATAAGGAAACAGAGAATACCTGCCCAAAGGGATACATTGGAGAATACTTGCCCATAGAGACACAGTGGAGAATACTTGCCTATAAGGAAACAGAGAGGAATACCTGCTCAAAGGGATACATTGGAGAATGCTTTCCTATAGAGAAGCTTAGAAGAATACTTGCCTATATGGAAACAGAGAGGAATACCTGACCAAAGGGAAGAATACTTGCCCATAGGGATACATTGGAGAATATTTTCCTATAGAGAAGCATAGAAGAATACTTGCCTATAAGGAAACAGAGAGGAATACCTGCCCAAAGGGATACATTAGAGAATGCTTTCCTATAGAGAAGCTTAGAAGAATATTTGCCTATAGGGAAACAGAGAGGAATACCTGACCAAAGGGGAGAATACTTGCCCATAGAGAAACAGTGGAGAATACTTGCCTATAAGGCAACAGAGAAGAATACTTGCCCATAGGGATACTGTACGTTGGAGAATACTTTCCTATAGGGAAACATAGGGGAATATTTGCCTATAGGGAAACAGAGAGGAATACCTACCAAAGGGGAGAATACATTGGAGAATACTTGCCCATAGAGAAACAGTGGCAAATACTTGCCTATAAGTAAACAGAGAAGAATACTTGCCCATAGGGATACATTGGAGAATACTTGCCTATAGGGAAACATAGGGGAATACTTGCCTATACAGAACCACTAGAGAATACTTCCCTATAGGAAAACAAAGAGGAATACTTAACCCATGGAGAAACGCTGGAGAATACTTGCCTATAGGGAAACATAGAGGCATACTTGCCCAAAGAGAATGTTTGTCTATAGGGAAACATAGAGGAATATGTGCCCATAGATAAACACTGAAGAATACTTGCCTGTAGGGAAACAGAGAGGAACACTTGCCCATAGAGAAACAATGGATAATACTTGTCCATAGAGAAACATGGGCAAATATGGCTTCTCTATGCCTATGGACATGTAGGGTTTTTCCATGGGGAGCTACATTTTCCCCATAACAAGAAATTCCTATGGGCAAGTATTCTACAATGTTTCTCTATGGGCAAGAATAATTCCTCTACATGCAAGTACTGTCATTTGTTTTAGCACATCCCAGGAGGGCAGTAGGGGAATGCAGGGGGTGTGGACCGCACCAGGTGACACACTAACCAGGGGTGATACACACAACTGCTCCCCAAATATCTGACTTATGGCACAAACAGGCTGTGGCATTCACCGGTGTGTGTATGTTGGTCTTCAAGAGCTTTCCAACTTATGGTGACCCTGAGGTGAAGCTGTCATGGGGTTTTCTCGGCAAGATTTCTTGGGGGGGGGGTTGCCTTTGCCATCCTCTGAGGCTGAAAGTGTGCAACTTGCCCAAGGTCACCCAGTGGGTTTCATGGCTGACCCAGGAATTGAACCCTGGTCTCCAGTGTTATAATCCAACATTGAAACTGCTATGACACACACTATTGCTCCCCAAAATGCCTGCCTTTTGGCAGAAATGGGCAGTGGCGTTTGCCTGTGTGTTTGTGTGTTGTGTGCCTTCAAGTCCTTTCCAACTTATGGTGACCATGAGGTGAAGCTATCCTGGGGGTTTCTTGGAGAGATTGGTTCAGAGGAGGTTTGCCCTTGCCGTCTTCTGGGGCTGAGAGTGTGTGACTTGCCCAAGATCACTATGAGTTTCATGGCTGAGCTGGGAATCAAACCCTGGTCTCCAGAGTCATAGTCCAACATTTGTAGAGCCACTATGCCATAGTTATTTGAATGTTGTAAATGTAGTAGGTCTCTGGAGACTGAAATTTGAATTCTGGCTCAGCCATGTAAACCCATGGAGAGACCTTTAGCAAGTCACATGCTTTCAGCCTCAGATGATGGCAATGGCAAACCCCCTTTGAAGAAACTTGCCAAGAAAAAAAAAACATGATAGGATTGCCTTAGAGTCACCATAAGTTAGAAACAACTTGAAGGAAGGCAGCAACAACAAACTTTATATATTAAAAAGTTTGGGAGGAAGAAGAGGTGAAGGGATCAGAACCTCAAAGTCTTGTGACCCCCTTGAACAACTCTCATGTCCCCCTGGGATTCCTGCCCTACTGTTTGAGAACTGCTGGTTTGGACAATGGTGCATTCACAGGCATCCACATGCACATAGGAGGAGGGTACCCCAGCCTGCCTCTGCCAGATGCACTTGGGCTGGGCATTGGGCTGGAAACCCAGAGGGTCAGGTTGCTTTGTATGTTGTGTGCCAGATGCCCCTTTTTGTAAATGGTGTGTGGTGGTGTTTCCCTTCAAGTTTCTGATTTATGGCAACCTTAAGGCAAACCTGTCACAGGGTTTTCTTTGCAAGTTTCTTCAAAGGAGGTTTGCCATTGTCATCCACTGAGGCTGAGAGACCAGGGTGACCACATGATATAAATGCAAAGGAGGACAAGGCACCACAAAATGTAGGTCATTTAAGAAAAATGTAGAACATTATACCATTAAAATTAAAAACACTAATAGAAATATAAATTTATTTCATATGGTTTATTTACAGCTATATTATGTATAGTGTATATTATTATGATCTTGACCACATTTTTCAGATGTGCCTCTCTTCGTTAAAATGCCTTGTTGGTTTACAATATACTCAATGGAACTCTGAGCAAGACAAATGCTTAAAATGGGACTAGCAACAAATCCTTGACTGAATCTACATTAAAATTATCCCTTTCATTTTGCCATTGTGCTGAAATTAAGGGAAAAAAACCCTTACAACTTTTGTGTTGTGTTCTCAAGCAGCCCATTGCCTAATGCCATTACTATCCTTTTCTCCTCTGAGAAACATACCGTACATGCCCTGAGCTCTGGAGGTGAGTCTTGTCTGCTTCTCCTCCTAGGAAAAAATAACTTTAGAAGGATACATCCTATCCCTCTATTTGCAGTGAAGGCAGGATGTTAAATAAACTAATTTCTCAAAGTAAACGTCTTAGTCATGCTCAAAAGGGAGGACATTTTGGAATTCCTGCTGTTCAGAAAGTTGAAATGTAAGACATGTCCTGGAAAAGGAGGACATTTGGTCACCCTGTGAGAGACTGTGACTTGCCCAAGATCACCCAGTGGGTTTTCATGGCTGAATGGTGATTCCAAGTCTGCTCTCCATAGTCCAATGCTCAAACCACTACACAACACTGGAACCTTGGGATGTCCCTTGCTTGAGAGCCACAATATGTGTCCCTTGTAGCTGATGGTATCTAATGGCAGGTATCCCCTGTTATAAGGGATGACCCCTATTTGCGGATTTGAAGGCTTTTCTTTTTATAGAGCATGAATGAGGTGCCCCAAATCCCATAATTTTGTGATACAACAGACATTCATACAAAGAGTCAATAAGCAACCTCTTTGTGGGCTACTGTGAGCCCACAGAACAATTTATATTATTCCTCCTCCCTCAAAACTCACTTCTCTTATGATATATCAGTATGTCCTGGCATAACGTTTAAGAATGCTTGTCCCAAATTTTCATTGAAATTGTTTTCAAGTTTCTCAATCATCCTTGTAGATCTTTTTTGAATCTTTTTCAGGTTGGCAACATCCTCTTCCTAGTGTGGAAGTCCAG